AATGCTCCTTCTGTTCCCGCAAATGATTTGTTGCAAAGAATTACCTTTCTTGAACAAAAAATTGATCAAGTAACCATTCGCTCAAGACGAAGGGACTCGGATTTACGTAATTCACGTTCACGATCTCGAAGCCAACCTCGTAAACGATATGACCCTACTGGCAAATTTTGTTTTTATCACTTTCGTTTTGGAGCAAAATTCATTCTAGAGAAATGCAAGCCTCCGTGTGCTTGGGTAAAAAACGATTTCAAAAACCAGGAAAACTCGAATCTGCAGTAGGTTCAGCGGCAAACGCTGCTGCAGAAAATATGAAGGATTGTCGCAAATTTCGTTTATTCGTTCGTGACCGAAGATCAAATTTGCACTTTCTTATTGATAGCGGAGCTGACGTAAGCATAATTCCTGCTACTTCACAGAATAAATGTAAAACTGAATATAAACTGTATGCAGCTAATGGCACAGATATTTCCACTTATGGCATAAAAACGCTAACTCTTGATTTGGGATTACGTCGTGATTTTCAGTTTCCATTCATAATTGCTGATGTCACAAAAGGTATTTTAGGAGCTGACTTTCTTCACAAATATAAATTGCTTGTCGATATAAATAAGAAAAAATTAATTGATGGCGTAACACAGCTTTGTGTCCAGTGTGATGTCGCTGCTATTTCCAGTGATTACTCAGTAACCACATTAAATAAATCCATAAAAATTTTCGATTTACTGTCGAAATATCCCGAAATTTCTAAACCTAACCTTTTTCCTACACAAATTAAACATGGTGTTACACATTTTATTTCGACTGTTGGTCAACCCGTTTATTCAAAGGCACGACAGCTCGATCCAAAACGCTTAGCTATAGCTAAAGAGGAATTTAAATTTATGCTTGACAATGGAATAATTCGTCCATCAAACTCCCAGTGGTCAAGCCCCTTGCACCTTGTTACGAAAAAGGATGGTTCATATCGTCCTTGCGGAGACTACCGACGATTGAATGCGCAGACGATACCTGATCGATACCCAATTCCTCGCATTGAAGATTTTCATCATATTTTAAGAGGTACAAATATTTTTTCTAAAATTGATTTATTCAAAGCTTATTTTCAAATTCCCATTGCAGAAGAAGACAAATGTAAAACGGCTATCATCACTCCTTTCGGTTTATACGAATTTAATGTAATGAGTTTCGGTTTAAAAAATGCTCCTGCAACGTTCCAAAGATTTATTCACGAAGTCTTTAGAGGATTAGAATTCGTTTTTCCCTATTTAGACGATATACTCATTGCATCCAGTACCCATGAAGAACACGAAAATCACCTTAAATTAGTTTTCGAAAGATTACATACATTTGGGTTAAGAATTAATGTTTCAAAATCTGTCTTTGCTGTTCCCCAAATCGAGTTTCTAGGCTACCTAATTACACCTAAGGGTTCCCGTCCTTTGCCAGAAAGAGTTCAAGCTATTACTAACTACAAACGACCAGAAACAATTCATGAACTTAGAACCTTTCTTGGAATACTTAACTTTTATCGTCGTTATATAAAGGATGCAGCGAAGAATCAAGCATTGTTACATGCGTATCTCAAGGGAGCTAAAAAGAGGGACAAACGTAAAATCGAATGGACTGAAGAAGCTGAAAAACAGTTTGAAACGTGCAAGAATGACCTGGTGAACACGGCACTGTTGTCTTTTCCCAATTCTGAATTACCTCTGGCGTTATTTACAGATGCTTCAGATACGGCGATTGGCTCAGTGTTGCAACAATATGAAAACTCCTCGTGGAAGCCAATAGCATTTTTTTCTAAAAAATTAAGTGATACTCAGCAAAAATATAGCACCTATGTTTCATTTATCATAGGTGCAAAAATATAGAGACTATGATAGAGAACTATTAAGCATATATCTTTCAGTTAGACACTTTAAGCATTATCTAGAAGGAAGAGTATTTACAATTTATACAGATCACAAGCCCTTAATATTCGCCTTTCGTCAAAAACTTGACAAAGCAACACCTAGACATGCTCGCCAACTTCAATACATCTCCCAGGTTTCGACTGATATCAAATATTTAAAAGGTGAGAATAATATTGTGGCGGATACGTTATCTAGAGTTAATGAAATTTCATCGATAGATTATGATAAAATAGCTGATGAACAAACTCAAGATGAAGAACTGAAGAGTTTGCAAACCACTACTTCCTTGAATTTCAAGCAATGTTCTCTACCATCGGGGAAATATTTGTGGTGTGATACATCAACTAAACATGTTCGGCCGTATATTCCTCAGGCTTTCAGAAAACACGTCTTTCAAAGAATTCATGGTTTATCACATCCAGGAATAAAATCGACTATGAAATTAATGACATCAAAATTCATTTGGCCTAACATAAAAAAAGATGTACAGTTGTGGACAAGAACCTGCATTCATTGCCAAAAAGCTAAAATCAATCGGCACACCAAAACAAAATTAGGTGAGTTTGAAGTATCACCAGGAAGATTTTCTGTCATCCATATCGATCTCATAGGACCACTTCCACCATCTAAAGGGAATATTTATTGTCTTACTTGCATAGATAGATTTTCGAATTGGATGGAAGCAATTCCTTTAGAAAATATTTCTGCTGAGAACGTCGCAAGAACCTTTTATAGCAACTGGATTGCGCGTTTCGGAACGCCAAGTAAACTCATTAGTGATCGTGGATCCCAATTTAAAAGTGATACATTACGAGCTTTGTCCAAAATCTGTGGCATCAATTTACAACACACTACTGCCTACCACCCCTCGTGTAATGGCAATGTTGAGCGCCTTCATCGAACATTGAAAACAGCATTAAAAGCCCACAACAACATATCTTGGACGGACACGTTACCAACAGTACTTTTGGGTTTGTGTAAACTATTCAACAGCACTATTCAAGAAGATACCAATCATTCTATTGCGCAAGTAGTTTATGGCCAGAGTCTCAGACTTCCTGGCGAGTTTTTCAGCGAACCAAGTATCCAGACAGCATCGGAGACTTTTGCTAATAAACTCCAGAAACAGATGGAAGTTGTTGGACCGAGACTAATTCGTAAAAATTCATCTGAACAGATATTTGTCCATAAAGACTTAAAAACTTGTTCTCATGTGTTTCAGCGAATAGATCGGATAAAAAAAACCTTTGGAACCTCCTTATGAAGGACCATTTCCTGTTATTGATCGCAAGGACAAATATTTTACTATTAGCACAAAAGGAAAACATGTTAATGTATCCCTGGATCGCCTGAAACCAGCATATATTTTAGCTGAGGAAAATTCTCAGTTGATACAACCTGACTACAGTAATTTGCAGAGACCGGACTCAAATTCGGATGTGAATCAAAAACCTTCTCGCACAGGCAGAACTATACGTTTACCTGTTAGATTCAAGGACTGACTAAATTATTTTGATAGTGGTTAACACTGCAATACTAGTTACTACCTATTTCTCCATCTTCGTAACGTAACTTAGTTACTGGTGGGGGAGTAGTGTAGTGGCCCAGTTATTGCATGAGAAATAATTATTTTTTATTTCATATATTTGTTCATGTGTTTAATTATTTTATAAAATTAACTTTAATATTTTGTTAATATTTATTATATATTCATATATTTATATTTAAATTTCTTTATGCTGAATGGCAACTAGTTCTAGTTCTGATTCATGATTGCTAGGTTTTGGTTTCAAAACGTTGCTCGTAGCGTCGCATTTCGATAGCTGGAAAATAAAATGCAATAACTTAGCTATTTGTTTATAATTCATGCTGTTACTAGTCATAAATTAATTTTAAACATTAGTAGCCAAGGCTACCACCCGGAAACAAGGGCCAAGAATTTAATTTTTCCCACAAGGATATTCTGGACTCTTTCTTTTTTCGAAAGAATAAAAAGTCCTACGTTTTTAATGTTGCTCGTTAAATCTATTTGATCATTATCTTCGCCTTTTCTTTTCCTCATTAAAATTATACAGCTGTACAGTGACAAAATTTATATACAAAACTGTTAAAATTTTGCTTAAATACTTGTGTTTTAAATTGATTCGCGTTCAATCTTCTAGAAAAATAAAAAAATATATAACTTTTAATTCAGTAGTCGCACTTTGCAAAGATAATTGAACTATATAAGACAACTTTTAAGTCGTCGGGTAAATGACAGAAATTAAGCTTCATTTAAATTAACTACTTACAAAATTATTCTAAAATGATATATTTTTATGACCTTACATAATTATTAATTGAAAACATACACAGACTCATTATATCACGAATAATTTCTCGAACATCTATTTGATATAAGACATTTGAAGAATTGAATCACTATGAGAAATGGGCCCAATAATTAATCATTATTTGCTTATCTATTTGCTACATTTTTATTTCATTTTTTTCGTGTTTTACCTTCTGGCAACAAAAGAGCATAGACAGATGAAAAGCAAGTTGCACCTAATAAACAGTTGCCAACCATAAATATAAAATTTAAAAGCCAAAAATCTACTCCCCACACAAATTAAAATCCATTTTACTTTATTATAGACATAGCGTAAATTTTAAATATGTTCAAATTTCTTTACATTTACTAAATGCAACAGGATTACCGTTTAACATTATAACAACACCTCTATGTAATAAAATCATTTTTTAAAGCAAAACTTTCGCCGCAACTACAATAATAATTTCCGGAGAATCCATATCTACTTTTTCTCCTCCTATCATATGATTTCCAGTAAAGCAAAAAAGCACAGAAACGATTCTTACCTCACGCTGAAATAATAACCTTTCTCGCCTCTAATAACCTGTCAACGCGTAGAACATTAAAGGGAACATTTATATTATACAGACAAGAATGACAAGTCTTTGGCAGCCTTCCTGTTTGCCAGCTCAAAGAACGAGTCCTGGGAACAGCTTCAGAAGTGCAAAAAACTTCTGACGACATAAAATATCAAGGCATTCGTGGGCAATAAACAAAAACCACCATTTAAGAAGATGACATTATTACGTAAGAAGATCCGTTCTTTGTTCTTTGTGCTTCAAGGACTGCTGATGCATGATCCGTGGAAGGTTATTGTCACCTTCCAGGGTAATGGGCACAAACTTAATCTTTACATTTTAAGTATACATTAAACGGCTCTGAAATCATTCTAAAAATGTAACCTCTGTTAAAAAAAGGAGCGTTTAGATGGCTCTAACATCATGCTTCGAAGTTGTTTAATGGACATGTTATTAAATTTCACATAACATTTTACTACAATCTGTAAATGTGCCAGTGTTCATTTAAACGTGAATAGTTCTCTTCAGTGTTTTTAGATTCTCAAAATTAAGTATTCTGAAATATAATAGATTATTAACACCTGGAAATGAAATCCAAACATTTTATACCAACTACTTTATGAATCATAATGCTAATAATGATATGAAAAATTAATTTACGGAAATCAGTAATGTTCTCATAGAACACATAGTTATATTTACAAACCATTTAACTGAATGTTCTTTTGTTTCATTTTCAGTATGTTGCAGCATTTGCAGTTTCTGCTTTAGCGTCTAATTGGGAAAGACTCAACAAGCCTTTTAACCCACTTCTCGGCGAAACGTACGAGCTAAGCAGGTAAGTCATTACACTTTTTGACCTCATTTACTCGTAATTATGTTCAAAGTTTGTAATTAAAAGTAAATAAAAGCAAGTTAAGTGTAATTAAAAGAAATCGATATAAGATTATCTGTGATAGATATATAATTTAAATACGTAGGAAAACAAAACTACACCAATAAATAAAACTATGAAAGAATACTAAAATTTGCGTTCAGTTTAAAATAAAATACTTCATGCTACTCTTTTTCACTAAATAACTCTTTCAGACCACCCCTCTCCGTTTTCTCTATAGATAACAAATTGCTCATTTACAAGACCCTTTTGCGTCTCATACTCTCTTACGCCTGCCCTGTTTGGGGATATGCAAGCTTTACAAATGTAAAGAAAATCCAAGTTTTGCAAAATGTAACACTCCGAGAAATGGCGAACTGTCGTTGGTTTATTAGAAACACGGCAGTTCACGGGGAGCTCGAAATTCCTACCATTTACGCCTACTTTGCTCTGCTTGCAGAAAAGTTCTATAACAATATACCTAATGTAAACAATAATACCATCCCAGTGCTAAACTATGATTTTAATGATGTAACAAATAGCAAACGGCCGCTTGCGGTCCTCAGATACCTTCAATAGTTAATTTACTAAAATTAAATACTCCTGTACACCCTCTTTTACTGATTGTGTTTGTTTTGGTGTTGTTTTGCTGTAAATATTGTATATATCTTATATTATTTCCCACTATGCATTATTTAAATATAATAATATTTAAATAATACATAGTGGGAAATATATAAGATATATACAATATATCGTTATGTAAACTACTATTGGGCACACATGTGAACTCTTAAGCTTCAGTGAGGCTTAGGCATTTATTTTTTCTCTCTACATGCCATTGCTTATCCATGCGCACTACCTTCGTCAGCCTGCACTGCAGGGATACTCTCTGTCGGACTCTCACATCGTACTCCCCCAGCTTATCACTATTCTGAACTTTCCATTTGTTTTCGTATTTCGCAATTCCATAAAATCGAAAGTCGGAAGCATTATGCCGGGATAGCGTCATAACGCGGGGACCCATATTGCGAAAAACTCTTCGAGTTCCTGAGCCGACCACCCCTCAACCAATGGTGAAATTCCAGTATTCCGTCCACTTTTTCCCATTCTATCTTGTTAGATCATCCAGGTCCTGACAAGCACAGCGTACAGCGATGCAGGCTGCCGCATAGTGTGCCTGGATTTCAGTCCCAGTAAAAGTTTTAATATTTTTAAATATATACTATCTATGCAGCATGGAGGCACCTAATTCTATGAATATATTAGAGAGCTGAAAGCTCTCCCGAGAGATTTAGTAACGTCACTCTGCCTTCCTATTCATTCCTTCTGCGAAAATTCAAATAGCTTCAGAATTCAAATAGCTTCAAATTAGAATCAATCAGATATCAGAATCAGGACGATCAGAAAGATATTGTTCATTTTGTCATATTATTGACACAAAAAATATACGTTTTCCTAGACCATCCTCTGTATACGTATTTTTTCTGTATTATTAAATAATAATACATGGATCCATTTATCACTATTTTTAATAGATTAACTATTATTTGATGACAGACGGATGGATCTATCATCAATTATATGATTTCGGATGAATGGATCAATTAATATTTGATAGCGAAAGATGACGGATGGATGGATGGATCCATCACTACTTGAAGATAGATGAACGGATAGATCATCATTATTTGATAACGGATGTATGAACGAATAGATCCATTATTATTTGATAATGGATGGAGCCATAATTACTTGATGATGCATAGATAGATGGATCCATCATTATTTGAAGACGGATGGGTAAATATACCCATCATTATTTGATGACAGAAGTATTAATGGGTGGATCCATTACTGTTTGATAACGGATAGATTAATGGATGGATGGATCCATCACTAGTTAAATAAATCTATTATTATCCTAATGTAATCACTGATGAATAAATCTATTATTATCCTAATGAGGGATGGAGATATCATTACTTGATGAAGAGATGGACCCATCATTACTTAAAGATGGATGGGTAAATATACCCATAATTATTTGATGGCAGAAGGTTTAATGGGTGGATCCATTATTGTTTGATGACGAATGAATGAATGGATAGATGGATCCATCACTAGTTGATGACGGATGAATGAATGGATCTATTAATATCCTAATGAGAGTTGGAGATATTATTACTTGATGAGAGATGGATCCATCATTATTTGATAACTGACGGATGGATGGATAGATTCATCATCAACTGATGACGGACGGATGGGTGGATGGATAGGGAAATGCATTGTGTAAAAACAGCAATGTGGCAAACCTTTCGCTATGTGGAAAAACGGTGGTATCTAAACCAACAAATTTTGAACGCATAAAAGCAACTTGAAAATGTGAATCCCGAAGCTCAAATTTGGAATTTTATATTTTAAATGAATTTTACAGACCCTCTATTAACAAATTATCTAATTATATTCAATATGTTGCCACTCGGCAATGCGTACAGTATTTGTTTCACATTTTATCAACAAACTCAGTGATATGAAAGAAACGTGTCGCCACTGCCTGAAATAAAATGTTTCAATCTGCTACGCTCCAAACTGTTGCCTTTCCGCAAAGTGTAAACTATTATTTTTGCTTTAAAATTTAAATTGCTCTTGTTAATTATTAGCAAATTAGGAAATTTAAGAGAAATAAACGCAATTCATCCCTGCTATTATTAATTACTAGCTGAATCCGTAAAATGGCTCTGAATTCATTCTATACTTTTTGTATTTGTAATTACTCTTTTAGATGACAAAAAAAAAAAATATCATTAAAGGTAAGGGAAGTTTGTAGGCAAGTGCAACAGTATGACACCTTGAAGATAATTAACAGTGTAATATGAGAAGTACAGTAGCCACCGCTTATTAAACTCACTAATTATTAAAATCAGCATTTTGTTGCATTTCAACTTCCAGGAACAAAAACGTTGGTCAGGACCGAAACTTTGATCCAAAAATTTTAATAGAAAATTTTCAAAAATTTCAAAATTGCTTAATTACATTAATTTTAGTAGTATTAATTTTAACATTAATTTGTAATTATTAGTTTAGGTATTAATTATTTGTTACTATCTTACTAGATATATTTAAAACTGACGTCAAAATTTGAGTTTCTTAAATCACCTTCTATAAACTCAGCTGCTTAATAAACTCAAATGTGATCGAAACGGAAGATATTTTAATAAGCGGCTGGTACTGTATATGTAAAATGCCCTAAAATCAGTAAACTAAAAATTGATCTAAAAAATGCCATTTTTAAAAAAAATTCTATTCTTACTTGAAATGCTGAGAAATTTAGCTACACTGGCAGTAGAAATGTCAGCGGGATTTTTCTCACTTGTCTAACAGTAACATTAGTTTTAGAACATTAAACCGGAACAATTCCACGAATTTTGTGGCAAAGAGCTCAGGTTTGCATCTGCAGTTGGCATAGGCATTGTATGCTGTAGATAGTGCGACTTCGTCAGCGCCGCAGATGTTTTTCAAGAATTCTCTAGCGGGCGAATCAATAGGTATGCAGCTCTGTTCCCCTGCCATCGAACCATGGATGTAGGAATAGAGGAAGATTCCTTTCTCCTACCAAGGCCGACGCTGTGCTGCCGGGGTTTGGCAACACCTCCTAACAAAAGGAGAGTTAGAAGTCTGCTAGGAGTATGCAGCTAGGAGCATGGAGAGCATCCTTTCTCACCTCCATGGCTAGAAGCATGGAGGTGGCTGGCTAGGAGCATGGAAGTGGCTTTGGTAGCTAAGGGGGATGTGGTACTTTAAATCCAGAACACGTTGCCTTGACAGCGGTTTGGTAGTACTTCTACATACGACAATTCCACTTAAATCGAAAAGCAGGGATACTTCCGCCCAAAAGAAACATACATTGCTGGATAGATAACAGCAATTTGTATAGTTTACTGGCATTTCCGCACAAATTACACCTTGGTTATCTTTGATAACTTGCAACAGCGATTTTGATTATGAATTCGTTTTATAAAATTTTAAGCTGCTGGACTACGAAAATATAGATTTATAACAAAATGTTTATGTTATATGTAAAGATTATATTTAACAAAATATTTATATTCTTTAATGTTAAATACATTAAAGAACCTTTAAAATACCAAAATATCGCAAAAATACAACACACGTTAAAGCTCAATTTTCTTATAACTAACTGGTTGTAAGCATGGAAATTTTTACACGATGTCCTTGGTAGTGTATTTGCTACTTTTCTTTTATGTTTGAAATATCAAAATGTTTTAAATAAAATAAATATTTTGTCATACACATAGTATTGTAATTTGCAATTTTTTAAGAATTTAGAGGAGAGGCATATTGCTCATTTTAAACTCACTTAGAGTTTATGTAATTGAAAAATAATCACTTTGGGTTTATATACCTTAACTCAAAAATAAAATTACCTCGAATTTCTGGTTATGGGTTGGTTTATTTGATTACGGCAATGTTATCTGTCTAAGGGTAGGGATGCCTTATTGGGGGCACTTTCTAAGGGAAACTGACTCGTATACGCGCTATACATGGGGAGAACCACAAAAACTTTCATGCAGCCATTCGCTGGAATTCGAGCCCCGGACTGAACTACCAGTTTTCAAGGACTTTACCACTCGGCGGCTGGTGGGTTTCCTCGAAATTCTGTAATCTTTGTTAAAATTAATAAATATATAGATAGATATGCTAATAAGTTAACTTAACCATCATTTGTAACCATACGTTTGTGTAAAATTGTATTCAGTAACATTTGCCAATTCAACGGAAGTACCATGTGCCGTCAAAATGATATGTGAACGTACCACATCATCTTAACAGCTTATTAAGAATTTGAAAAAGTGTGATCCGAGGAGGTGTATGGATCCGAGGAGGTCCTTCCTATATTTCACCGTAAGATGTCCTATCACGAATGGTCCTCTTACTGA